CGACTCCCAGCCCCTGCAGCTCAAGGGCAGTGGCAGGCATGCGTGTGTGCACGCCAAAGCCCCGACAGAGGGACAGCTGAAGGAGAGGAGATGGTGGTGTGGACATGCCCCATTCTGGGGGGCCTTTCTTCATCTCTCTCTGTCTCTTTGTCTCTCTGGCAAGCGCACGAGCCCTCTGGCAAAGTAAAATTAAAAAAAGGAGAGAAAAGCAAAACATAGATGTGGCTATATTTGGGGAAGGTGCTGGAGTGGGTGGGTGGTTTATTATTATTTTATAACAGCGGTGTCATTAAAATACCAGGGAACATGATATATACCCTGTGTTGTAAGTTCATAGTCTATTTTTCTTCTTTCTAGTTTTGCTATAGGGCGCATGAGCTCACTGGAGACACAGAGAGAGACAGAGAGGGAAACTACTAAGTCGCCCCCATGAGGATGGCCACTCAGCAGTCCCTTCTCTTCCACTCTGCTCTCAGGACTTTGGGCACACACACACACACACACACACACACACCTGACATGTTTTTCAAGCTACCAGGTCTGAGATTCTAACTGCATGGTCAGCCATGTGGAATCCAGCAGCCTTAACCACCACGGAACCTGGCTGGCCTGAGCGGGTCCATTTCTAACGTGCCTCATCTGGAGGGAACCGTCCCACACGCGCTTAGCTTGGCAAACTTGCACGACCAGTGAGTGTGGACCGCAGCCCTGCTGCACGCTCCCGATGGCCAAAGTCCACCTTCCAGGGAGCTCTGAGCATGTGCTGATTCCATTTTTCTAACAAGAAATCGTAATTAAGTTTTTTTTTTTTTTTAAGAGTGGTTTTTGCTATAGGGCGCATGCGTTTGCTGGAAAGACAGAGAGAGACAGAGAGACAGAAAGCGAGAAATCACCCCCCAGGGGGAATGGTCACGCTGCAATCCCTTCTCCTCTCGGGATCTTGGGCACACACACACACATGCCCGGTGTGAGTTTAAGCCACCGGGTCCGGGATGCGAACCGCAGTTCACTCCATGGGAGTCCAGCGATGTAACCATTACACCAATGCTGGTCCCTGTAGTTAACCTCTTATAAATGTAGTATGGGTCAGTAGTACAGTGGCCATGGATGCCCACAGTGAGAAACGCCTCTGGAAAGGTGTTCAGGTCAGGGTCGGCCTTTCCATACCCTGCCCCAGGCAGGCCGCATCTTCAGGGCCAGCTGTGCACTGCAGAGAACCTCTTCCCCTTAGTGCTCTGCAGACCTGGAGATCCCAGAGGCTTGGCCGACCCACGACAGCCACAGCTAGAGGGCGCTCTCAGAGTGCAGGCGAGGGGCCCAGGCCAGAGCTGCCTGTACCATGCTCGCTCCCCGCTCCCCAGCAGCGCAGGACATGAGGGGTACGCACACTCCCTGGCGGTGGGCAGGGTGCTCTTCTGCTGAGCCAGAGACCACTGCTTGTAGGTGCTGTCCAAGGTACCCATGGTGATGCTGTTGTGCTTCCCCAGGGAGCCCAGGTAGATCACGATGTCCTCCAGCTCCTGGTTCTTCAGAGGGACGCCGACCTGAGGGGACCAGAGGAGCCGAGGGCTGCAGCCCCCAGCAGAACGCCCCGACCTCCGTCCCCACGGCCTGGCCCTGCCTGCCCGGCCCCACCCTCCCTCCTACTTTCTCCTGGCAGGACTCTCAAGTTGCTAAGTTTAGGGCTCACTCCCAGCTCCTGCCCAAGGCCCTGCCAGGGAGCTCAGGGCTTTCCCCCGCCCCTGCACACTCCCTGCACCGTCTCACCCTCTGTCTTTGTTAGGGAGTTCTCCCGTCTCTGCCTGCAAAACTTTCTCCTCTCAGGATCTTAGGCAGGCACACACATGTGACTGGCTTGAGTTTTTTTTTTTAGACGTTTTTGCTACAGGGCGCGTGCGCTCCCCAGACAGACAGACAGAGAGAGAGAGAGAGAGAAAGCGAGAAGTCACCCCCCAGGGGGGATGGCCATGCTGCAATCTCTTCTCCTCCATTCTCCTCTTGGGATCTTGGGCACACACGCACACGCACCCAGCATGAGTTTTAAGCCACCAGATCTGGGATGCGAACCACGGTCGACTACATGGGAGTCCAGCAACATAGCCATTACGCTAACTGCTGGTCCCCCTGGCTTGAGTTCTAAGCCACCAGGTCCAGGACTTAAACTGCAGTTGACTACATGGAAGTCCAGTGACATAGCCATTACGCCAACTGCTGGTCCCTGGAAGCTGCATTTTAACAAGTCTCCTGTGTGAGTACAGGCCAGCAACAGTTGGAAATGTTCTAGAGGGTTCTAGAGGCAGGACTGAGGATCAAGCTCTTAAAGGGTCAGTGCTGGAGGGGGACGGCAAGGGTTCCCCAGGCAGCTGGCTGGGCATGAGTTCGGCAGACTAGTGAGGGGCTGGGGAAGGAGGGCCAGCAGGTGGCATAGTGGTTAAGGTGTTGGACTCCCACATGGTCCATGGGTTTGAGTCCCAGACCTGGTGACCTGAAACTCCCACCTGGTACGTGTGTGTGCATGCCCAAAATCCCAAAAGGAGAGTGGAGGAAAAGGGATTGCAGCGTGGACATTCCCCCTGGAGGGTGATTTCTCGCTTTCTGTGTCTCCAGCAAGCCCATGTGTCTTATAGCAAAAATCTCTCTTAAAAACAGAACAGAACAAAACTAGTGCGGGTCTGACTGGGCCACGGGTGAAGCCACGTTTTCCCGTCTGGCCTTACAGGTGAGCTCCGGAAGCAACTCCATTTTGGAAGGGTGCTTCCACCTTGGGAACTGTCTCCTTCTTCCCCTCCCACTACAGGTGCCTTAAGAAACAATCAGTGACTTGGGACCAGCAGTTGGCATAATGGCTATGTCGCTGGACTCCCACGTAGTCGACCGCGGTTCGTGTCCCGGACCCGGTGGCTTAAACTCCGGACGGGCGCGTGTGTACAAGATCCCGAGAGGAGAATGGAGGAGAAGGGATTGCGGCGTGGCCATCCCCCCGGGGGGTGATTTCTCACATTCTGCCTCTCTGTCTCTCTCTCTGTCCTTCTGGCGAGTGCATGTGTCCTATTGCAAAAACCTCTCAAAAACAATCAGTGACCAACAGACCTTGTCTGTCACCAGGGGAGCCGTTAAGAGTCCACTGTGTCCAGAACATGCCCTTAGGAATGATGAACCTGCCTGCTTTGCTTCTGTAACTGGCGTTATTGCTTTGAAGAAAGAACAACCCTACCCCTATCTCTCCTAAAGCCCCTGCGCTTTGTTTCTATCAACATGTCACCATGAGATAAATCGTGATTATATCTATGTAAACTCCTTTTCTCCTTTCACTCAGGGCTGCGGGGTTTTGAGAGACACGAGTCTCCCGTAGGCCACCGGCTTAATCAATAAACTCCGATACATTTGGCAATGTCTGGATGTCCTGTGATTTCTCGCTGAGACTCTAACACTCCCCTTTTCTGCATTCCAGCTGACCCAGGACCTGGGGAGGGAGGACAGAGGGGGCTCGTGCACCCCCTGCACACCGGGCCCACTGAGCAAGCGGGCAGCACTCACGGCCTTCAGGGTCAGAATGAACTCCTCCCGGCTGATCCTCTGGTTCTCGCCCCGGTCCACCTTGCCAAACATCTCCAGGATCTTGATCTTGCGGCTGCGCAGGTGGGCGTACATGTCCCACAGGACGGGGGGCTTGGGCAGCCGGAGCTGGGGCACCGTTCGGTGGCTAGGTCGGGAGGATCTTTTCTGGAAGAGGCGAGAGAGAGAGAGAGAGAGAGGGAGAGAGAGAGAGAGGAGGGTGGCATAGAATAGAGCTGAAGGGTGACAGGCTGCGGGGAGGCAGTCCCCAGGGCTGGAGAGAACTAGAAGCCGAGCAGCCCGGATGGCGCGATGGGCCGCTACGTGGCCCAGGAACGCCCAGGACGCTCGGCTCCTCCCTCCGGGCTTTCGTTTTAGCATCTGAGATGCAAGGCTTGGACGGCGTGAGCACTAGAACTTGGCTCCCACCCACGTCGCCCCGGCACATCAGCTCATTCTACGAGCCCAGTGGCCTCCGTGCACCGAACACACGCCCCGACCTGGAGTCCCACGGAGCTCCCGGCTGGCCGTGCTCCTACGGGACCTCCTGCCGGGAATACTTAGCCTCCTCCTCTACCCCTGCGCTTCCTGCCCCTCTTCCAACTCTAGATGAAAGGGTTTATTTGTTTGTTTCCTTTTTTATTTATTTATTTTTTTACATTTTCCCACAAATATTTACTTTCCATGTCAAAAAGTGTTTGCTCGTACTCCATAGTTCTTGACAGTGAGTAAACAACTAGCAAAATTTCCAAAAAATTGAATGTTAAGGATAACTTTCAGAATGTTCATGATCATTTTGTTTGCATGTTTCTTTCTTTCTTTTTTTAAATTACTTTATTTAACTTATTTATGTATTTATTTTAATTTGCCCAAAGAGGAATAGAGAGAGAGAAACAGAAAGTGAGAAAGCAAGCCACCAGGTCCAGGACTTGAACCACAGTCAGCCATGTGGGAGTCCAGCACCCTTAACCACCATGCCACCTGCTGGCCCCTCTTTTTTTTTTTTTTTTTTTTTTTTTTTTTAGTTTGCTACAGCGCATGTGTACTTGGGGGGAGTGGTGGAGGGAGGAAGAAAAAGTGAAAAATCGCTCCCCCCCAGGGGGAATGGCTACACCACCATCCCTTCTCTTCCATTCTCCTCTCAGGATGTTGGCCGTGCGCGTGGGCACACACACACACACACACACACACACACACACACACACACACGGCCAGTGTGTTCTTCAGGGTCCTGGCTCAGGGGCTAGAAAGGCAGAGGTGGCCATGTGAGATCCAGCCGCCCTAACCACCACGCCACCTGCTGGCGGTAAGGGGAATGTTTCATAATAATAAACCCTGCTTTATCTTGGGGGAGCACTCGGTTTACAAAGGGCCTTCCTGTTCCTAGCTTGTCCAGCCTGTGTACTCCTGGGGTGTTTTGGACCGTGGCTTAAGAACAAGACCATCCATGTCTTATTTAGCTTCCCTCCCCTGCCCCCAATATCCCAGCCCTGAACTGAACAGATCCCAGGCCTAGGCAGGTAGGCAACCACTGTTGGCTGAATAAACGATTTCATGAATTAGGCATGACTTTACCCACTTCCAGGAATCGGGCTCAGAGGAGTAAGTAAGGTGACTTACCCATGGGGGTCACACAGCGGGTAAGCAACAATACTGCGTTCCTTATTTATTTATTTATTAAAAAATTTTTTTAAAAATTATTTTATGTAACTTTATTTATTCATTCATTTATTTATTTCAATTTGACCAGAGAGGGATAGAGTGAGAGAGAGAGAGAGAGAGAAAGCAAGCTGCCAGGTCTGGGACTTGAACCGCAGTCGGCCCTGTGGGAATCCAGCACCCTTAACCACCATGCCACCTGCTGGCCCCTATTTCTTTCTTTTAATTTGCCAGAGGGCATGTGTGCTCACCAGAGACAGAGACAGAGAGAAAGTGAGAAAGCGCCCCTCCATAAGGTCTCTCCCTCCTTTCGGGATTTTGGGCATGCACACACACGCACCTAGCCTGTCTCTCAAGCCGCTGGGTCCAGGATTCAAACACGCAGTCGGCCATGGGGGATTCAGTCACCCTAACCACTAGGCCATAGGCCTGCGCTTCTTCATAGACACTGTGATGCTGAGGCCCACGACATTTGGGTGTCGACTCTGCTGACATCGAGAACTGTCACTGTGGTTTTGAACTGACAACCCAAATGACACCGAGGAGACTACGATGATAATAAAAACGGCAGTCACTGAATGCTCACCGCACGCCCCGTCTCGGGGGAGCCCAGTGGTTACTCTCACTTCATTGATGAGCAAACCGAAGCCGGGACTGTACAGCTAGGGCGTAGCAGAGCTGGATTTAAGCCCGAGTTCTCGGACCTCTTATCCCAAGTTTACTTGAACTGGGAGAATTTTTGTTTTGTTTTGTTTTGTTTTTTTCTGGAGAGGTTTTTGCTATAGGGTGCGTGCACTCACCAGAAAGACAGAGAGAGACAGAGAGACAGAGAGAGAGAAATCACCCCCCCGGGGGGATGGCCACGCCGCAATCCCTTCTCCTCCATTCTCCTCTCGGGATCTTGGGCACGCACGCGCATGCGCCCGGCGTGAGCTTAAGCCATTGGGTCCAGGAGTCAGATCGCAGTCAACTACATGGGAGTCCAGCGACGCAGCCATTACACCAACTGCTGGTTCCAGAGTATTTTTTTATTAAGTCTCCCCACCCCCCACCCCCCCGGGTGTGTGCATTCTTGGAAAGACAGTGAGAGGGAAAGTGAGAAATCACCCCCCAGGGGGAATGGCCACCTTGTGGCCCCTTCTCTGTTTGCCTCTTGGAACCCACAGTGTGCCTGGCATGATTTTCAAGTCGCCGGGTCCGGAATTCAAACCACGATCGGCCATGTGGGAGGCCAGCGCCTTAACCACCATGTTACCTGCCGGCTCCATCTAAAGTGGTTTAAAGTTCTCCTTGAGACCACGTGGTGGCCCAGCAGTGATGCAACTGGACCCACGTGGGAAAGGCCCTGGATCTGCATTCCAGGACCTCCATGAGGACGCAGGGCACACGTGCACATGTCTGTGACCCTGGGCTGACCAAGGCTGGGGTGCGTTGCAATAGGAAAACCTTTTGGGGGTGCTGTCTCCTCTCCATCTCTGTCTCTCGCTCATGGAATAAATAAATAAATAAGCTTTAAAAGAAAAGATTCTTGGGACCAGCAGTTAGCGTAATGGCTATGTCGCTGGACTCCCATGTAGTGGACCGCGGTTCGCGTCCCGGACCCAGTGGCTTAAAACTCACGCCGGGCGCATGTGCGTGCGTGCCCAAGATCCCGAGAGGAGAATGGAGGAGAAGGGATTGCGGTGTGGCCATCCCCTCTGGGGGGTGATTTCTCGCTTTCTATCTCTCTGTCTCTCTGTCTGTCTGGTGAGCGCATGCGCCCTATAGCAAAAACCTCTCAAAAAATAAAAATAAAAATAAAAAACTTGCAGATGACTGTGGCCTGGGCCAACATTTATATCTATAGACTCACAAGTGACTCTGAGCCAGAGCCGCCCAGCTAAGCTACTCCCACAATCCTGGAACTGTTTGCAATAATAAATACTTGTTGCCTTAAGGCATGTTGAGATATTTGTTACGCAGCAATTGATAACTAATATACCTTGCGCCCCTATGAAATGGGGAGAATCATCCCCATCCTGCCCAACCCAAAGGAGTGAATAACCTTGAAGCCCTTCATCTGGTAAGGGGGGGTCCTCACCCTGATGGTCTTGGTAGCAAAGTGGGTCACCAACTGAGAGTTACGCTCCTGGTTGATCATCTGTAAGACCTTGGCTTCTGAAGGCGTGAAGGTGGGCTTATTCTCCAGCCACCTCTTTACATCTCCAAACGATTCCAGATCCTTCCGTAGCTTCATTCTCCTGCTGAGCCAGGCGTTCTTGTCCTCTGGAGGCTCTTGGAGGTCTGCAGGTTCCGGGGCTTTGAAGCTAGGGATGGGCTGTGGGGGAGCCCGGTGCAGGGATGTGGGGTCAATGGGTATCGGATCCTCCTTGCCAGGCACGATGAAGACCCTCCGGCGGCTCTGAGGCAGGCAGAAGTCCTCCTGTTTGAGCCGCTGGAAGCAGTGGGAAATGACCGGCTCAGGATTAAAGGTGGAGACCTTGCTGGCGTTTCCATCGTTGACTGAAGTCTTAGACTGGACGAGCCCTTGGAGAAAGAGGATTAAAAGGTCAGTTCCTGGGGCTGGCAGGTGGTGTGGTGGTTAAGGGCACTGGATTCCCACATGGCCAACCATGGTTTGAGTCCCAGACCTGGCGACTTGATTTCTCACTTTCTCTTTCTGTCTCTCTCAGGTTACATGAAAAATAATTACAGTAATAACAACTAAAATAAGCAATTATTTTTTTAAAAAGCCACGATGGCTGTATTGCATGACCATGCCCCCATTGCAGGGATGGGGGTGTGCGTCCTCCCATGGTCGGCCCCGTGGGAGTCCAGCACCTTTTAACCACCATGCCACCTACTAGCCTCTCACCCACTGCAGTTCTCAAGTGACTGGGGCTGGGATTCGAACCTCATACAGTCAGCTATGTGAGATCTGGCTCCTTAACCACCAGGCCACAGACCTGGTCCTACATGTTTTCTTTAACTGGTTGATTGAGTCATTCACGCATTTTGAAAATTTGCTATAGGGCACGTGTGCTTGCCAGAGAGACAGAAGGGACAGACAGAGAGAAAGTGAGGAATTGTCCCTCCGGGGAGATGGCCACTCTGCAGTCTCTTCTCCATTCTCCTCTCAGGAATTTTGGGCACATACGCACATGCACCCAGTGAGTTCCACGCCACCATGGCCAGGACTTGAACCATGCAGTCAGCCGTGTGGGATCCAGCTGCCTTAACCACCGTCTCATTTTCTAGCCAGCTTTCTCTGATTTCATCTCCTCCACCCCAGCCCCCAATACTCCTGTTGGCCATGAGAACTCATTTTTAAAATGCCAATCTGATTTTACCTGATCTTCAGAGACAGTGTAGCACTATTAAGAGCAGAGGCTTAGGGGCCACCCATGGTGAGGCTGGTAACACACTGCTCAGGAGAGGCCAGCTCCTGGGGCCAGTAGGTGGCGTGGTGGTTAAGGCGCTGGACACTCCCACATGGCTGACCATGGTTCGAGTCCCGGACCTGGTGGCTTGCTTTCTCGCTTTCCCTCTTTCTCTCTCTGTGTCTCATTCTGGTCAAATGAAAATAAACAGATAAATAAATAAAATTAAATAATTTTAAAAGAGAGAGAGAGACAGAGAGAGAGAGAGAGAGAAGCCAGCTTCTACAGGGTTCAACTCCCTGTGCCCGAGTGTCCAGGCTCCAATGGGCTGGAAGACTGGAGGAAGAGGACTGCACTGTGGAGGGGGCTCATCTTTCTCCTTCCCACTGTCCCTCTCATGTGTGTGCACGTGCACTATATCTTAAATAAAGAAAAAATAATTTTTTGAGAGTTTTTTGCTACAGGGCTTGCGCGTTCATCAGAAAGACAGAGAGAGACAGAAAGACAGAAAGTGAGAAATCACCCCCCAGGGGGGATGGCCATGCCGCAATCCCTTCTCCTCCATTCTCCTCTCGGGATCTTGGGCACGCACGCACATGCGCCCAGCGTGAGTTTAAGCCACCGGGTCCGGGACTCGAACCGTGGTCAACTACATGGGAGTCCAGCGACATAGCCATTAGGCCAACTGCTAATCCCCCGAAAAAAATTTACAGAAAGAGAGAGCAGTGACTTTGCAGCAAGGGAGTGTGGGTTCAAGTCCTGGCTCGGCCACTTATTGGCTGAATAACCTTAACCTCCATGGCTCCATTTCTTTGCCTGCAGAATGGGGATAATGGTAGCACCTGCTCTATTGGGCGGGGATGATGCTCAGAGTCAGTAACATTATTAGAGTATTACTCTCTTGTCGCTCTTGTTCCCCACTGGGGCCCCCCACCCCCCATACACACGGTGCCTACGAACCATGGGAACTCCGCAGGGAACTCACCCTGGTGGGTGAAGGAATGGCGGATCTACGAGGTGAGTGCCGCGATTATACCCACTTACAGATAAGAACTCTGCTGCCCAAAGGGGCCCACGGTCACACGGTCCATTAGCGGCAGAGCTGGGACACGAACTCCTGTTTGCCTGGCCCAGAGCTCAGCATTTTGCCATTGCTTCATACCCTCCACCCCCTTCCCCAACCCCCCCATCACCTAAACCCACGGAGTCTCAAGTCCTCAATCTCTAAAATGGGGCCAGGAGGTAGCGTGGTGGTTAAAGTGCTAGACTCCCATAAGGCCCATCACAGTTCAAGTCCCCGACCCGGCAACTTGAAAATCATGCTGGGCACATGTGTGTGTGTGTCCAAAATCCTGAGAAGGGGATGGAGGAGAAGGGATTGAGATGTGGCCATCCCCCAGGAGGTGATTTCTCACTTTCTCCCTGTCTGTCTCTCTTGGGCAAATGCACGCACCCTTTGCTAAAAGTAAAAAACAAACAAAATGGCATAAACTCTGCTCAGTTCACCTCCCAAAGTTATTGCAAAGGTCAAATGAGATAACAGGTATAGTGTTCTAAAACTCAGAAGGAATGTAACATGATTAAAAATGTGGTTACTGCCAGGCCAGCAGGTGGTGTAGCAGTTATGTCCCTGGACTCCCACATGGCCGACACAATTCAAGTCCCGGACTCAGTGGCTTTAAAAGACCACGGTTCTGTTGGTGTAATGGCTATGTTGCTGGACTCCCATGGAGTCGACTGCGGTTCGAGTCCTGGACCCGGTGGCTTAAACTCAAATCGGGCGCGTGTGCGTGCGTGCCCAAGATCCCGAGAGGAGAATGGAGGAGAAGGGATTGTGGCGTGGCCATCCCCCCGGGGGGTGATTTCTCACTTTCCCCCTCACCATCTCTGTTTCTCTCTCTCTCTGGAAATAGCAAGAGCCCTAAGGCAAAAACCTCTTTTATATATATACACACACACACACACACACACATATAATCACTGTCGTTTCCCATCTAAACCAAAACATCTTTGCTTAACATCCACCCGTGGATCCCACCTGCCTCCGGATTGCAGTCTCAGCTCCTTACCCCTATGGGCTGCGGTCCCCACGGGCTCCATTTCTCTGTTCCTTCTCTCACTCCCTCGCCCGTGTTTGTACCCAGACTGAACCACATTCCACCCCACCCCGACCTGGCCCTCGCTGAATGCCCTTCTCCCTCCCCTGCCTCACTCCATTCTTCTCGCGCCCCCTTGGATCTGCAAAGCCCGTTACAACCCTGACCCTGCTCTTTTCGTTTTGTTTTGCTTAAGGTTTTTGCCACAGGGCACGTGCCAGACAGAGACAGAGAGAGAGAAAGAGAGAAATCACCCCAGGTGGGGATGGCCTCACCACAATCCCTTCTCCTCCACTCTCCTCCTGGGAGTTTGGGCACGCAAGCACACGCGCCCTGCGTGATTTTCAAGCCGTCGGGTCTGGGCCTCAGATTGCGTTAAACTGTGTGGGGGTCTAGCATCTTAACCGCCATGCCACCTGCTGGTCCCGGCTTAAAGGATCTTAAACTCGAGCACAGCCACTTCTCTGGAGCCATGACAGGCACTCCCTCCTGGTCCCCCAGCCTGAGTATCGCCGTGGATTGTCCTTTCCGTGTTCCCGTCGGTCAGCGCCGAGTCCCTGCAGTCCCCGCTAGCCCGGCCCTTCTCGCTTGCCGCCTGGCATCTCTGGCCTGGGAATGGTGGCCAGGCACTCTGGCTCACCCTTACTCCCCTGTACATTAGAGCGCGCAGAACTGGAGAAGAGGCCGGGAGAAAGCCTCTGTCTTCAAGTCACCCCCCAGCCCCATATTCCGAGTCTGCCGATGCAGAGTGGGCCTTGGCTGACGCCTCTAAACCCGGTCCTGCTGCCCCAGACCCTCTCCATCTCCCGGCCTACAGATCTACTACGATCTGGTACATTCTGAGCTGATCTCTAGAAGCCCTCGGACTATCACCGCTTCCTGAAGACACCAGGCCTGTGCCTCTCCCTCCTTTTTTTTTTTTTTTCCCATAAGGTGCTTACGCTCACCAGAAAGAGAGAGAGAGACAGAGGGACACAAAGCGAGAAATCACCCCCCAGAGGGGATGGCCACGCTGCAATTCCTTCCTCTCCATTCTACTCCTGGGATCTTGGGCACACATGCACACGCACCTGGCTGTAAGTTTAAGCCACCGGGTCCGGGACTTGAACTGTGGTTGACTACATGGGAGTCCAGCGACATAGCCATTATGCCACCTGCTGGTCCCGTCTCTCCTCCTTTAAGTCCCAGAGTAAAGATCTTCTCCTGGAGCTGGGCCCTGTTCCTCCCCATCCCACACGCTCAGGGGGATGCCAACTCCAGGGCCTCACCCCTGGGCCCAGCACCCAGCCTTGCTCTGTAATTATCTGCATCTCTCTCCATCTCTCAAGTTGTGCCTTGTCCATTTTGCAGAACTTGGGCCAGAGCAGGACTTGGTGACCAGACTGTCAACACGGCTTTTTGCTTTTTTTTTTTTTTTTTTTTTTTAACCCAGAGTGGGCGGCGTG